GACAAAATACCTCAAAAAACCATTATCTGGTCAGCCAATGGTGCAAAGCTGGTGCAAGAAGGATCCAAAATTCAACTTACAACAGATGGCCAGTTCAGCCTCAGTGACACAAGAGGAGAGGAAGTATGGGCTGCTAAATTGACTGGCTCTGGTGTTGTTTCATATGCAGCCATGCTCGACACAGGAAACTTTGTGCTGTCGAACCAGGACTCCTCCATCTTCTTGTGGGAGAGTTTTAATCTGCCAACTGACACAATAGTACCTACACAAATAATGATAAAACGCAGCGTACTTTTCTCCCGTTATGCAGAGATGAATTATTCAAGGGGAAAATTTACTTTTCAGATGCAAGGGGATGGAAATCTTGTATTCTATGACACAAGCTTCCCACTGGATTCAGTGCCCACTCCTTATTGGGCAACCGATACTGTAAACCGGGGTTTCCAGTTTGTCTTCAACCAGTCTGGCTATATTTACCTGGAAGATCAAAATGGAACCATAATCTACTATATGACATCAAATGGAGCTTCATCATCTAGGGACTACTACCAGCGAGCAATCCTAGAATATGATGGGGTCTTCAGGCATTATGTCTATCCAAAGATCAACGATGCTACTGCTAGGAGTCCTATGAACTGGTCCGTACGGTCCTTTGAACCTAAAAATATCTGCCTAACACGCGAAGAATCACAAGGTAGTGGTCGTTGCGGGTTCAACAGCTACTGTAGTCTTGGAGATGATCAGAGGCCTAGATGCGATTGCCCACCTGGATACTCATTCTTCGATCCAGATGATAAGATGAGAGGGTGCAAACAGGATTTGATCTCACAAGATTGCAATGGAAACCAAGATGCAGATAATTTTGAACTCAGGGAAATGCCCAACACGGATTGGCCAGGAACAGATTATGGATATTTTAAAGGGGTTACTGAGGATTGGTGCAGACAATCCTGCTTGACTGATTGCTTTTGTCCTCTTGCAGTCTTTAAAGCTGGTGAATGTGCAATAAAGAAATTTCCTCTCTCCAATGGGAGAATGGATCCTAGCCTTGGTGGAAAAACACTGATCAAAATAAGGAAAGACAATTCAACATACAAATCTCCTGACAAAGGTTCTGGGGAGGGTTCGATTGACGGGAGTTCAACCGAGGGTTCAACCTTATGTTCAAATAAGGACAGGTCAACTCTAATTCCTACTCTAACTATGCTCTTAAGCAGCTCATCATTTTTGAACCTTGTTCTGTTTATTGCTACTCTTTGGCTTGTTTCACGCTTGTGTTACTGGAAAAGAAGGATGCAAGTTCAATCTTCCAGAGCAAACCAAGGCACAAGTTTGCGAAGCTTCACATACAAGGAGCTTGAGGAAGCTACAAATAAATTCAAAGAAGAACTTGGAAAAGGTGCTTGTTCAAC